TTCATTACATTCAATGCTGGTTTTTTGCCAGACATCCCTGCCCTATTGCGGCCTAAATATGCCACCTACGATTTTGTATTATTTTTCCCGTGATCAGGGAACACAAATGAACACTTTCATAAGACAAAATAATTAAAAAATTTTTTTTTTTTTTTTTGCGCTTGTGGGTGTTGAAGGCCAAATAGCCCAGAGCAGCTTAGGGGTTAAGGACCTGTCCAAAACGTATGTGTTAGTGGCTTTGCAAGAATGTAAAAATATCAATCTTATGTAATCTCCCAAACCCATTATACAGTCTTGTGAATAAAATTATTATTATTATTATTTTTATTATTATTACTTTATTATTATTATTATTCTAATGTTTATTATTATTATATGTATTATTATTATTATTATTATTATTATTATTATTATTATTATTATTATTATTATTATTATTGTTGTTGTTGTTATTGTTGTTGATTATTTGTACATAATCAAGATAATACAGTACTGTACTGTATATTATCATTAGCTATAAATAGTTCTGATTTTTGCTTTCAACAATTATAGTAAACAATTATTGATAATTATATTCTTATAGCTATATTTGATAATTATAGCTGGATGCGATAATTATAGATACTGAAATGTATGCCTGGTAATTATAGAGAATGATTCTATATATATTTTTAAAAGTATTATGGGTACAGTAGTACAGCACTGTACATAACAGATAATTAATGTCTTCTTGTAAATACTGTACGTCTTTAGGCGTACTGTACATCTTGTAAGTACCGTTCGTCTTGCGTGCACTGTTCGTCTTGCGTGCACTGTTCGTCTTGCGTGCACCGTTTGTCTTTTGAGCACCTTCCATTTCAAGCGCTCATTTAAGGACATTAGTTGTGGTTGATATATTAGCAATAATCTCAGATGCAAATTATTTCAGAACTCTGGTACATAGTTTCAGGACCAGTTAATGGACTGATTTGTATGGAAAATTCAACTCTCGGGAATCACTTTTAAATTGTGCTTTGCATATAAGGATTTGTGTTTTTATGAATTTCTAATAAATCTTTTACAAAATGTTGCTTCATATTTGGTAGGCTTATAGTGTACAGTAGAATACTTATGAATTTTAGTTTTCCATGATTGGAGTTCTTGAGATCAAATTATTTTTATTTTAATACTCTGTAAGACTCTTGAAAGTAAAATATTTTAGCCGAAATACATAAATGCCTAATATAATGTGTTGTGTTGGAGATTTTTTAGACCTAGGAGCAGTTTTAGGATTTTTTCTTGGGGGGGGGGGGAGCCCCTATGGCTCCCCGACGCTTTCCTGGCTGATATGCTAATGTCAGACTTTGGCATCAGTCATGTGTATGGAGTTCTGTGGGCCTACCGGGGACCACGAGCCAGAACCTGGCTCCCTCAGAGAGGCAAGGGAAGCAATGGCCTATAGAAACCTCTGTGTGGTTGGAAGCATTCTATGTCTGTCATCGACTGGGGTCAGGCACCCAGAAAGGTAAGCATCCCAAAACAAACCCCTTTTCTGGTGAAATTGCTACCAAAAGCTGAACAAGTGGATAGAACTCCCCAAAAAGAAACGAGTAAACAAGCATGACGTCACATGTCACCGCGCCGCTGTCTGCGCAGCTTCCCCCTCCCCAGGAGGGGGAGCCCCGAACCTCGCTGCAGCCATCCACCCTTCAGTTCTAAGGCTGATGCTAGAGGCAGAGGTCGTGTGCTCTGGCTCCAGTGATTTTTCAGCACTGCTGCGTGTGTGGTGGCTGTCTTCCAGGGGGTGCGAGAGCCAGGAGTTATTCTACAGTACTCGGGCTGCATGCGCCTAGGGTTCCCTAGGCGCATGCAGCCCGCAAGTCCCTCAGGCTTGTGGAGGATGTGGGGATGCTTGGGGTGGTTCCTGGGCCCAATGCCTTGGGCTCAGCAGCGCACTCGTTGGCTGCCTTGTTGAAGCTCTTTGCGCCGATCTTGCGGATGCGGTTTCACAGTTTTATGCTTCCCAGCTCGTGTGTCGGCAGGCGCTGCTTGCCTCCTCTCTGGAATCAGCCTGGACACTGGCTCTTAGGATGTCTTCACCATTTTGTCCTTCTTTTTGAGGATTCTGCCGTGGCACAGTATATACAGGCTGCTTCGGCTTCTTGTCGCCTATGTCTGACTTGTAGGTTCTCTGGGGGTCTGGGGGGGATGTCTTCCCGGAGGGGTCGTGTCAGGGCTCGGGGTTCCGCTTGTCTGGGTAGGCCACTGGTACCAGTTTCGAGTCCGGCGCCGCCTTTGGACCCGCCTTCATCTGGTCGGCACGGTGTTCGCTTTGTGTGAGGTTCTGGGTCTTGTAAGTGGCACCGGCCCTTTCATGGTTCACCCCATTGATGGGGGGAGGCTTGTGCTGTTCGCTCACGCCTGGTCCCATGATTTGAGGGAATTCAGGTCATTTCATTCAGGTTTGCTCTTTGGAGGGTTCGGGTCTCCCGCGGATTGACGATCTGGCTCCATTCGGACTGCTCCCCGGTGGTTCATTGCCTTAACAGAGGGTGTTCGATGCGGTCTTTGGCTCTTGGCACTGGTCGCTTCGGGTGACTCGTCTGCCGAGTTCTCGAGGTTTGGCTCTCCTGGTTGTTCACAGGCGGGGAGTGTCCAATGTCTTGGCCAACGGCCTGTCTCGTTTCGTTCCCCTGTCCACGGAATGGACAGTCGATACCGACCCCTTCCGTTGGCTTTGCCAGATGTTCGGGCGCCCCGACGTGGACCTCTTCACGTCGTCCTGGGTCACGGTGCCTTCCCCAGTATGTGGCGCCCTTCCCCGACTGTGAGGCCATTAGGGTCGATGCCTTTCGGCAGGACTGGTCGAGGTGGGGGTTCCTGTACCTCTTTTCCCCGGTTCAGCTGTTGTTCCAGGTTCTGACTCGCTTGAAGACTTACCAGGGGAAAGTAGTCCTCTTGGCCCCGTGTGGCTGGCCCAGCCGTGGTTTCAGGCGCTGCTTGCTTGGTGTCCTAACTCGGTTTTCCCGCGGCTCTGCCTTTTCCAGCACATCGGACCGGAGTGTCACGTGGCTGGTTCGGTCTTCTCAAATCTTCGCGTATGGTATTTTTTATTCGAGTTCATCTTGACCTCTATGGTGATCAGGTAGCTTCCTTGTTAGTGTCCCACCTGCGGGCTTCTACTCGACGGCAGTGTGAAGTTTCCTGGCGATCCTTCCGGTTCTTTTTGCGTCTTCGTCGTTGGGATTCGCTTTCTGTTAAAGTGGTGTTATCCTCTCTCTTTTGGTTGTTCCAGGACCGTCATCTTATGACTAACACTGTCGCCTTATATCATGCAGCACTGGCGGAGCCGCTTCAGCTTGCTTTCGGTATTGATGTTACATCTGCCCTGTTTCGCAAGCTGTCTCGGGCGTTGTTTCACCTCCGGCCTGCTCATGCGCCGCTTGAGCCGTCCTGGTCATTGGACAGTGTGCTCTCTTTTCTTTCTTCTCCTCAGTTTGTTGTGGCCCCTTCGGTTCAGGATTGTTTCTCGAAGGCTCTTTTTTCTGTTGGCGTTGGCCTCTGGGGGTCGGGTCGGAGAGCTTCATGCTCTCCTCTGGCGCAGGGGCTTTTGTTCCTTTGGTCGTGGCGATAGGTTTGTTTGTCTGCAGCTGTCTCCATCTTTTCTGGCGAAGAATTAGACTGCTGCATTCCGGAGCAGCAGCATAGGTTGTTGACGTTTGGTTGGTTCGGCCGGGGGTGCATCATGTTTTGTGTCTTGTTGCAGCCCTCCGCCGTTATTTGCGCGCCACGGCTTCTGTGTCTGGGGACGCGCTTTGGGTTGATCTGATTTCCCTTTTTCCTTGTTCGTGGGTGCGGATCTCCTAGGTTGTCCGCAGGATTATTGAGGCTAGCCAACTTATGGTCTATCCCATGACATTCGTAAGTTTGCTGCATTTGCTGCTGTCTTTGGCAATATGTCCTTGGCTGACATTCGGGCACGGGGATTTCCGTGGTCAAACAGGGTCCTGGCTGCTCGTTACCTCGTGAACGTTCCTGGACCTAGTCAGGCCTGTGTCACTTTAGGTCAGCGGTTGCAGTCAGTTGTCTCAACTTCGAGTTGAGGAGTGAGCAGCAACTGCTTCCCAGGTAAGTGCCTCTATTTCCTCTGTGGGTAGTTAGTTCCGGGGAGACGTAGGGGTTCCCCCCAGAAAACCAGCGTTGAATGTAATGAAATGCCATTTTCTGGGTGAGACCCGGAGGCTTCCCTGCATCCCTCCCTCCCTCCCTTCCTCTGGTTGGCGGTTTTTCACTGAAGGGTGGATGGCTGGCGCGAGGGTCTGGGGCTCCCACTTTCCCCTCCCGGGGAGGAGGGAGCTGCGCAGACAGCGGCACGGGGACATGTGACGTCATGCTCATTTGCTCGTTTCTTTTTGGGGAGTTCTATCCACTTGTTTGGCTTTTGGTAGCAATTTTCACCAGAATAGGGATTTGTTTTGGGACACTTACCTTTCTGGGTGCCTGACCCGGTCGATGGCAGATATAGAATGCTTCCAACTACACAGGGGTTTCTTTAAGCCATTGCTCCCCATGCCTCTCTGAGAGTGCCAGGTTCTGGCTCGTGGTCCCCGGTAGGCCCACAGAACTCCATACACATGACTGATGCCAAAGTCTGACATAAATATATCAGCCTGGATAAGCTCCAGGGAGCCTCTGGGTCTCACCCAGAAAATGGCATTTCATTACATTCAACGCTGTTTTTTTTTTTCCATTTAAACTGGGTCATATACCATCAAAGTGTCCACTTCATATTTAGTACTGTATATGGTACATGTTCATATAATATGCTATATCTTTTTGAGGTTTTGCATCTTGGTAATAACCGTTTTGAAAGCTCGTTACTTCATCTAATGCCGAGTCTATTTATGTCATGGGATTATCTGTTGGTGTTGCCATCCTTTCTGATTTTTGTGTCTGGTCTATTACTCCACTGTCATGGGAGTTGTTACTTTATTTAATTATTTGATTTTTTAAACACACAGATAAATGTCTCAGCTGGAGGAAGTGTTGTATAACAAGCTCAAGTCTCGGCGTCAAAGGTGAAGATCATGTCCTGGTATCAGAAGTCAGATTTCAGAATTATTGGGTTTCCAGTCTGTAACTTTCGTTGCTTGCTGTGCGCCTGTTTTGAAAAAAAAAGGATGTTTTAGGTTACAATTGTGTTGTTTGGTTGCTCATCTGTATACATTTTCATCAGTGGCGTTTTATGTTCTAGTTTATGTATTCTCGATCATCCATGAATTGCCTCTCGCTTATCTCCACAAGCCATTATCAACACTTAAATTAGTATTCAGGCTTTTAAGAGTATGCAGTTCTACTCTTGTTTAGAATTTTTTATACAGACACATTCCTCTAAGATAGAAATAGCTGAGTATTATATGAACTGTATATTCCTTTTTGCTTTTACTTAATCTATTGACATGCAAGACATATTTTCTTTTATTAACAGAGCTTCGACATGGAGGCATTGTCACCCCAGTCAAGTCTTCTGGTGGAGCTCGAGCATCAGTGTCATCAAGCAGCAGAACGCCTAAGACCAGAAATCGAACTCATACCACAAATCCTGTTGTAAAACTTGAAGGAAGAATTGATAGCAGAGATTTACTAGAGAGAAGCCACAATTCTCATATTTCTAGTGATTCTGGTGCCAATAGGAACAGTAGTAACAGCATAAGCAGCAGTAACATCAGCAGCAGCATCAGCACTAACAGCCGAGTTGGGGGACTGCCAGGCTCCCCAAGATGTGACATGTTACCGTCTCCTGGTGGTATGTCATTGACCTCAATGAAGACAGAGGTGAAGACAGAGGATGACTTAGACTGTGGATTAGACCTGGTGCCTCCACCACAATCTTTACCAACTACCTTACCACCTCCGGCCCCACCTGAGCTTCCGCATCATACAATACCACATCCTCCAACGCATTCAGGGCCTCCACCTACCATTGGACCTCCTAGTATAGGCCCACCTAGTGCTGGACCTCCTAGCGTTGGGCCTCCAAGTATTGGCCCACCAAGTGTTGGTCCTCCTAGTGTAGGGCCACCCAGTGTATCTTGTCCGAGTGTAACACATCAGGGTATGGTGACCCTAAGTGGACCTCAAGTTAGTATGGCAGGAGCTTCTGTTGTTGGAGTTCCTATGCATATTCAGAATGCATCCAGTGTAGAAGAGGAGGTCAATAAAATATCTGCAATGTTACAGGCAGAGGCAGAGGCTCTAACGGCTTCACAAAATCTCATAGCAAGTTCCTCTATGGATTTGGATGCTGGTCTAGTTGGGTCTCATGATATAGTGGAAGCCCAAGGTCAAGCTGCTGGCAGTGTGACCACCAATGGTACCAGTCTTGGGGGCAGACAGGGGATGATGGTGAACAGTCAAACCATGGGCTCTGTGCCAGTGCCGATGAGTCACATGTCCATGGCCACGCTAAACCAAATTCAAGCAGACTTGTTAGCCACTGTGAGTGAGTCAGACCTCAATGCTGTGCTCAATGCCACTCCTGAAACCTCGGACCTGGCTCAGTCAGTTCTTCCCAATAATTCTCAGTGCTACTTAAATGAGAGTGGTAACTTGACGTATATTGACCAACATACTGTAAATACTAATAATTATGTTGAACCTATGGAACCCCCTGAACTAAGTATGGAAAAGGTGGTACCTCAGCGGTACAATAGTGAACAATTATCAATGCCCGTTTTAGAAGAAATCACAAATGAGGTTTTGTCTGAAGGTGACGCATGTGCACATAATCTTGATAGAGTGACGACTGATGTACAAGGACAATATACAAATGGTACTCAGTCTGATCTTATTGAAGTACCTGTTGAATCATTTAGTTTTGATGAAATTGAAAAAATATCATCTCAGTGTGATGAATTAACAAATGCAGTGAATTCTATAAGTCAGTTGTGTCAAGGTGGGAACACTGGACTGGAGTCACAGCTGGCGGGCCTGTTGCAACAACCGACATCTACCCCAGCACCGTCCCCTTCCTTAGGTGTGCAATCGGCTCCTACTGGCAACTCCATCAGTGCTGCTTCCACCTTGGGAACCTCCAGCCAGGGTATCACAGTGGTTATAGGAGGTGGATCACAATCCACTGTTAGTACTGTTGCATCTCAACCCTCACTTTCCATGCCTAATTTAGCTGCCACATTAAAGAAACCTGTAGTATCTACAGGAGGGTCTCAGCTAGTGTCACCAAGTCCTTCTGCATCAACACAAGCACACACTCCATCTCATACACCGACTCATACCCCTGCGCACACTCCAACACATACGCCATCCCAACACACTTCTGGGTCATCTGCCCTAACGCCAGCTCCTCCAACGCCTTCACCTAAAAAGTCAAGCAAAAAGAAAAAACCTGGCGAAAGAAAACTTTTACCTCTGAAAGATAGAGAATATGATCCTGAGGTTCATTGTGGTGTTGTGGTGGCAGAGACTGGCAAACCCTGTACCCGTTCCCTCACCTGTAAGGCGCACTCTCTCTCTTTAAGAAGAGCTGTTATGGGACGATCTAAAAAGTTTGACGAACTCCTCTTGGAGCATCGAGCAGCCAAAGAGGCGCAGACCAAAGCTGCTAAACCTCCAGATGCAGCTGCTGGTCTTATACAAGTAAGTAATAAGCATTTTCTTTCTCTCAGAGTGCCCAACCTGCCTTGTGTGCTCAGTGTTTGATGCTGTAATGAGCCATCCATGCATTATACCTTTCAAAGTTGTTGCCTTATTATCCCTCTGCTAATACAGAATGCATTGAACATGTTTTGAAAAAGATGCTCATTGGTTTTTGATCACCTGGGTAAGAAATTCTTGTCTGATTTTTCACTTGTTTATATAAATTGTTTTATTAAGTCATTACCTCTGCAATTCACAGATAGGAAGTGCCATTGCAGAAATACTTCTCATATTAATACTGATTATTTTTCATATCCAAGATAACAATCTCTTTTTTTTTTTTATTGAGAAATTGTTTGTCAGTTTGTGGTGTGTGTTGTGTTGGTTGGCATGTAACTGTGTGTTACAGGGCACCCCACCCCGTGGCCCGGTCTTGACCACCACTGGCAGCGGAGGAATGGTGGTAGGGGGGGCTGCTACTACATCCCCTCTCCTGGTTAAATCTTTGGGGGGCACCGCGTCCACAATAGTGACTCCGGGTGACCCTTCTCCCAATCCACCCCTACATCACCCAATGGATCCTCCCAGCACCCCGTCGCACACCCATGCCACGCCCCCCTCTCCTGCATATTGGCCGCCTACTTCTAGGATTCCTCCGGCCCTCGTACCTGCAGATAATTTTTATGTTCGAGAGCCGCCCAAGCCTCTTGCTGTGAGTTATTTATATGTTTTAATAAGGTGTTCTTTGTCATGTTGTATATTAATAGCTTATCTAACACAAAAAGTCTGCTTAAAACTGTTTAAGTATTATTTACAATGAAGCAATTCTTTTATTAAAATTAATAATTTGTTCTGTGTATTGTCTAAGAGTGGTTGCTAAATAGCATTCAGTTATAATAGTGTGCTCAGTATTTTGTTAACTTTTAATTTGCTTTACATGTATACTGTATAGTATTTCTACATTAAAAATTAATCCTATATAATTTTAAAAGTTAGTAACAAGTATGATATTTTTCAGACATGTTCGTACAACTGTAGAAGACTAGGTGGATACTTGGCTTCTGATCACAGGGCGGACTTATTACGTAGTGCGTTTCGTAATGCTCTGAAGAAGCCTCATCCAGGCTCGGTTCTCACAGACTCGAGCATCAGCAATACTTTAAATATTGGTGGTACTCAAGAGAGATTTGTGAACGTCAAACCTCTGTTAGCTAAAAAGTTGCAGCTGACTGTCCCTTCAGGGTCAGGCACTAAGGACGGCATTAGTGTAAGCACAGGGTACAATGGTCACATCCATGTCGGCAACAGCATGGGGATTGTGAATAGCAGTGCAGTGGCAGCGACACTTAAAAGACCTACCCAAACTGAAACCTTAAAAAATAATTCCTCTCCCATCACTAGTGCCAAAAATAAAAATAAAAAAGTGAAAACAAATGATGGTGCTATAAATATTGTGGGCAATGTATTGCAACTTGATGCCAGTGGGAACAAGAACCACATTCCTGTTGTTGTCAGTTTGCAAAATGGTTTATCGAACAATCAGACTATAACTTTAAGTAATGTAGCAATTGCAGGAGTGAGAAACTCTACTACTCAACCAATTAGAATAAACCCATCCACACCCACTAGTTTTGGGAGAGACACACCAGTTACGGACACACGGCCAGGCAGCAGTGATAATCCAAACATTTTTCTTGGGTCTGGTTTACCGAGTGGAATTGTGATATCTGACGCTTTAGCGAAATCGTTCAAAAGTGATGGTGCTGGGAGTATTCGATTAGAACTTCACAGCAATACCTTTGGGGATGCATCAAGATTGGTCACAAATACTGCTAAAGGTAAGAAATCTACTTCTATTGTTATAGTTATATTGATTATTCTTATACTTTGTGTTAGTCTTATGACGATCTGTACAATAGGGCTTTTTATGGTTTTGTGTCAGGCTAACATGATCACATGAGTAATAGCCTACTTGATCAGATACTTTTAAGAAATGTCTGCAATTCTGTCTTGAGGAATATTGTTGCTATTCCTTTGGTGTTCTTTAATACATATTGGCAGTGCTGTATAGTGAAGCGTTTAGGAACTGGGATACTGATAATGTGTAGCAAGTAAAAAAATGCAACCTGAACAAGTATACAAAATGACTATAGTATGGTATAACGTAAATACAGAGTAACTTTGCTGTGGTGCATGTCAGAATAATGTAGATAAACTTTAGGGATGGGGTTGTACAGTGCAGTACCTAGTGTAGTAATATGGCACATTAATGCTTTTCTTGCACTAAATTATTGTTTTCTGGGAGGCCTTCTATTGGTGGCTTGTTGATGTTGTATACCTGCATAGCTTTACCCAATTCAATCCACACAAGGCTCTTGCAAGTCATTGTAAGTCTTCTGGGGATCAGAGGGTTAAACCTGGCCCCTTCTGAAGAGGCACAAGAACAGTGGGATCCTGGATCACCCTAACCAAGAAAAGGCCACCAGGAAGACGGGTGAACCAAAATGTACAAACAGCACGGTAAACAAAACACAGAAAGCAAGATAACAAAGCCCCGAGACAAACTAAGCACCCGGTTATGAAACAGTTCTCTCATTAGTCCCACCAGTCCACCACCAGAGGACTGTTCACCTTCCTCCTGAATCCCCTAGCCTTGGACCTCAATCATTTTGCTTGGAGCTCATGTCTGTTATGTTGTGCTCCTCATTTTCCCTATAACTCAGTTATTCAGATAAGCATTGGCCATCCTGGATGCTGGTCAGTCTTGTTGGGGTTATTTTATTGTGTATTTGTTCTTTATTTTAGTGTTCATGATGCATGTTTCTGGGGGAGCCCCGTTGGCTCCCTGAAGCTATCCGAACTGATGTGTGCTATATTAGTTTGGGGTCATCAATCACATCAATCTCAGGTTCCCTCAGAGAGGCGCAGGGAGCAATTGCGTATGAGCACTTTACATTTAAAGTACAGTACAGTGGTACCTTGGTTTTCAAATTTAATCCATTTCCAGAAACGGCTCGTAAACTGAAAATTTGCAACCCGAAACAAATTTTCCCATAAGAAATAATGTAAATTGAATTAATTTGTTCCACACCCCCAAAAATATTAACACTTTGTGCGGATCAGGACTCCGCCCGGAGTCCTGTTTCACCTACCCGCTTCCGCGATGTGGACATAAAATGATGTCCTGAAAAAAATATTTGTATAAAATTCAATTTTAATCCGATTTACTTTGGGTTTGTTTCAAACTGCGCACCATGAGGCTCTCTTTCTCACCACTAGGCTGCATGGTACAATAAGTTCATGAAAGGTGTGGACCACTTCGATCAAATGGTATTACCATTTTACCAGGAAAACTCACAAGTGGACCTAAAAGATAACGTTTTATTTCCTGCAAATGGCTTTGCACAATGCCTTTGTTTTGTACAAATACAACACAACTGATCAAAAAAAGCTAACAATGCTACAGTTCCACGAGGTGGCAAATTGGGCCCTATTGTGCTGGGACCCAGAAGATTGGCCTCAAACAGCAACAGTATCTCAACACTTGCGGCACGCTCCAGACATAAATGATGACACAGGTCCTGCCTATGCTGACGCCATGCAAACTCCTGGACCATCTGGTGTGAGGCGGCCCTTGTTCACTTCAACACCTCAAGCTGAAGCAGCAACCGAATCAGAACCCGAGATGTCTGGCACACTGCCATTTGACGAGACGGTTTTGTCAGATGACTGACTCAAATGTTGAACCTCCAGCGATTCAGTTGATTCTGAAAATCGCATGAACTACAAACTGAAACGAGTATTTTGATACCAGAATGAACACTGTATCACATAAACTGCCATAAGTAAACTCGAACCTTCATTAGATTTTTTTTTGGGTGTAGCGTGTGTCTGCATGAGTGTCCCAAACGGGTTGCAGATGGGTGACTTTAGCCGTTTATACTGGTAATGTATTTTGTATTTTGATACCAGAATGAACACTGTATCACATAAACTGCCATAAGTAGACTCGAACCTTCATAGATTTTTTTTTGGGTGTAGCGTGTGTCTGCATGAGTGTCCCAAACGGGTTGCAGGTGGGTGACTTTAGCCGTTTATACTGGTAATGCTTCCCCCATATCATGTATTATATGCATATGTCTGTTTAGGGAATTTTATTCCGATCAATGTACAACCAAAAATAACTGTGTGCAACAAGTATAAACTTGACAAACATAACAAAAGTAAAAACATTTCGTGTGTGTTTGACGCTCACTGATATGTTCCAGCGTTGTTTTATATTTGGCGCTATTCTATCTTACGCTTTGTTGATCTTTTTTACCTACGGGCTCATAGAACATTCTATTGCGAACACATTGACACAAAAATGAATGACGTACATAGAATAATAATGTCAGGACAGTGAAATAAGTATAAACTTTCAAAGCGCCGTATCGCACATGTGTCGTCCCGTCACCGATACCGTGTAACAATTTCACCACTTCCCACACTCTTGCGGGTGGGCCGTGACCATTATTCTACGTTTATATTCATATCACCATGTTGGGAATTTCATTGCGAGTCCATTGATGCCAAAATTAACGCTGTAGGACAAGTGTGGAAGTGATAACAATCCCAAGAGTAAAAACATTTTGTTGTTGTGGGGCGCCCACGGCGAGTCATCTTCGTAGTTATTTATTTGGTGCTGGTATCCCTATACGTTTCGTGACTTTTTTTTACTGATGTCCTTCTAGAGAATTTTATTGCGAACACGTTGGTACCAAAATGAAATACGTAGCTCGAGAACTAAGGTCAGGAGAGTAAAAAGAGTATACACATTTTTGTTTTTACGCTTAAGCGACAAAAACGCAGCGCGCACATACCGTTTTTTTTTTTTACCATCGCCGGGCGCGCGAAAGTGTTAACTTCAAAATACATTTCATACATAATACACACAAATATTTTGTACTATAGTATGTACAAGTTACAGCTTACCTTTTATTGATGACTCTTGTTGGCATATGGGAGATGGTGAGGAGTGGGGGAAGGAGGAGAGGTGTTTGTGTTTGGATGGGGCATTCTCTACCATTACAACGTCAGGCACAGATGACATGTCTGGGGTACACACACTCCTATGTTTTGCCTGCATACCACTAGGACCTGGTTGTGGCTCACTGCTTGTTTGTCTCACTAAGATTCTTTCCATAGAGACTTGTTTTTCCTTTATGGTCATCCTCATATGTGTTTTCTTAGGTTGAACCTTACCGCTGACTTTCTTAGGACCCATGGCATGGTATATAATAATTACTTTTATGTTTAGAAGCCAAAAAAGCTGAAAACAATTAAATTCTTTACAAAGATTTCAAGCGAGATAGTCACTAGGCGGGAGGCACTGGTAAACTGAAGCACGGTCGCCGGTGCCACCAGGAACCACGCACTCAGTCGTCCCATATGTGTATCAACAAACTCGCAAAGTTCATAGATTGATTCAAATTTTACGAAGAAATTGAGCTCGTAACCAGAATAATTTGTAAAGCTGGACGTTCGTTACCCAAGGTTCCACTGTGTCACATTCCGCACTGTATGTCATAGACCAGGGGATTCCCAGAAAGATAGCCGAACCAAAACAACTACCCGGTAAATTGCTACCTACAGCCAAAAGGAGCAAAGAAACTCTTGCTGAAAAAAAAGAAACTGGCACCCTTGTCCTCAACTGGTACTTCCGCTTATTAGCATAACCTCCCCACACCCTCCGATTAGTGGGAGGGGGAGCCGGCTCAGGCAAGCTTCTGCAGTTCTCGTCTTGATGTGCTGGTGGACTCTGTCACCACTGGCCTCAAGTTCTTGTTCTGGACTTTGCCTTGTGTAGCTTTACCAGCTGTGTGTGTGGTGGTGTGGTGGCCAGGGGTTCTTGTAGTACCTGGAGCTGCATATGCCTATAGTACCCCTCCCTGGGTGCTCCATAAGAACTACCCTCGCGTGTCAGGGTTACCTTCCTTGGACGTTTGGGACTCACTTCGTTTGAGGGCTTCATCGCTTGATGTTGTCTCCGCCCTTGGGGTAAGTTTGGGATCTGAGGCTTTCCATCTTGCCCCAGGTAGGGGGGATTGTTATTGGCTGGGGGGGGGGAGGTTGGCATTGCGGCTGGCGTAGTCTGCTTATTACCTATATGATGGCCCATGTTTCTCTCCAGCTGCTAGTTTGCTTGGGGGTATGGTTTCAAAGGGTTTGTTCTTTTTTTAATTTTCGGACATTTTCCTGTGTGAATGGAGGTCTGCTAAGCAGCTTATAAGGCTCGCCTAGGTTGTGGTGGCACTCCTCTTCCATTCCCCTGAGGTTTCACTACTGCTACTGGTAGTCGTTTGCCTGCTTTTAAGCAGGGTGTCTATCAGCTTAGCTGGGCCCAGTGCCTGGGCTCTCCATAGAGTTGACGTACCCTGCGGGCCCTGGAAAACCCCCGTGGGCTCGGTTGGTAACATGGATCCGTCAGAGTCCTCTCCCGACTTGTGCAATGTTGAAGGTTGTTCGTCGCCCCTGCCTCAGGAAGACGATCACCTCTTCTGGCTCCGCCATGCAGCCTGTTGGGTCGGTGACACCTACAACCCAGAGTTTTGTGGGACTTGTTCCCCTCTTGTGTTTCAGTTTACCCATTCCTCATCTGCGGATAATAGGATTCAGGCTGCAGCAGCGTTGTAAACTCGCTTCTCTGTTTTGCAACACGCCAGGTTGGTTGCTCGAATGGAGGTCCCAAAGCTGACCCGCTTGAGTTTTAAAGACCAGAATTTGGGGGTGTTGGTCACTTCGATCTTGATTCTGTCCATGCCCCCACTTCCTTTCCAGGTGGGCATGGTTCTCCCTG